TACTTAGATGGCAATTGTTTAAGACAATTACCTAAGCTTTGAAAATTTTATTTTTTTATTTGTTGAAAAATTGTTTTATATATTCCTTTTGGTGGTTTATTTTTGTTGGTTATTGTGACAAAAAACTACAAACAATGGTAACCACAAATTTATCAGAATCATAAATGTTGCAAAAATTTTGTTTTGGTAATAATAATAAAAGAAAGTTCTTAAAAAAAAAAAAAGAAAAAAAAAAGAGAAGGAAACAGTATAAAGATGAAATGAATTTGTTGAACCGGCATCTGTGACTGGCAAAAATTATCCTGTTCAGTATCACTCGTATGTGGTCTTCTGAAGTGTTCAGCAATGGAAGGTGCGGTAACTGCAAACGGAAATTCAGCACGACAGCCTAAAAAGCCAGCAATACATTTGGCAACCAGAAAAGCGGTAAAACCAAAACGGTTATCGATTTCGGATACAAATCCGGTTGTACATAAATTAAAAAATTTTTCTGAAAATACCACTGCACACGGTATTCGAAGAATATTTACTGCACGTAACGCCTATACCACACGAATATGGCTGTTGGTGATACTTGCTTGTTTAGCTGTACTGTTTTATCAAGGCCAGCAACTGTATCATAAGTTTATACGTTATGAAAAAAATACTAAACTTGAGGTTCAGTTCTACTTTGATTTATTTTTGCTTTTATTTTTTTTTCTTTTACCATTCTTTCTACTTCATTTTTTTTTTATTTTTTGAAAAAACATCGCTAAAAATTTTAAGTTATCCAAATGGTGGAATATTGGTATGATTTGAAGCTTCAATAAATTCCTTCCTCCTCAGTTACTCAATAAAATTTAGTTTGAAACGTTGGTATTGTATATTTGAAAAGAAATTTGTTCATATAGTCATTTTTAAAAAAAAGTATACTTTAGTTTTTTTCCTTTTTTCTTGTTATTGTTTTTAGCAATCGACAGTTAACTAAGAGCATAATTTGCAGCTGAAATTCAGTCAAATACAATTTCCGTCAGTTACCTTCTGCAATTTGAATCCATATAAGAAGAGTTTAATATCTACAAATCCGGACCTCAAAGATACTGCAAGTCGCTAACTTATTCAGCAGAAAAAAAATTAAAAAAACAATTAAAAAAATAAAAAAGATTTAACTCTTTCATCAACAAATAATCTATTTCTTTGCTGGACAATTTTGCTCTTCTCTAATATACTAAAATAAAAAATTAAGATCGCTAAAAAATAAATAAAGTTGTGCTTCGTTTAGAAAACCGCAGCCAAATAAAACACAGAAACATTTCCATTTTTTCGGAATAAAAATTACGATAATCCATTACAGTTGGTAATGCTCATAACTGTTTGGCAACTAATATTGATGGTATTTATAGATGGACGTCTACGTTGTTGCACGAAATAAGAAAAAATGGGAAAATAAAAACAAGAAGTCAAACACTAAACGCACAACCGATACTGTTGTCAATTACGACTACCCACAGAACTCAGCAGAAGAATATGAGCCAGATTCTAAGTCGCAACGTCTAAAAAGAGATGTAAATCATCAACAAAAACTTGAAATTACTACTATTCATACCATATAATTTAGACTACATTTTTATTGCTGACGCCTCAGCAATAAAAACGACAAAAAAACATCCATTGCTTCATCTCGCAGTAATAAGTGTTTTTTATAGGTTTTAGAGGGAGTAAAGCTGCTAGAAGAAGGATTAGCAAGAACGGTTTTGACAGTGTGCAACTGTTTATCTGACTTGTGTTTCTTCTTCGACTTTGATCCACTGGACCATCCAGAAATGACAATTTGCAGATGCGAAAAGCCACGGCATAACGAATTGATTGATGCTCCAACATGCCGACCACTGAAGTATAAATACTTTAGTTGAACTGCTTAGCTGTTTATCAAACTTACGGATAAAGTTCAAATTTTTGAGAATATTCCATGCACTACTTAACATGCCGTTAGATTATTAAAAAAATTAAAGCCGTTTTTCTTCTTAAAACGCCGGAATGGTGGTTTGCAATGGAATAGTGAAAAATGCATAAATTGAAGGCACTGGTATAACGAAACATGCGATTTTTGTTTGGTTGCTGGACGCTGTATATTACGCAGTAAAGGTCCGCAGAAGGAACCCCGACCATGCTTCTGCTACAATAACAGCGAAGCAGGCAGTGTCAACTGCTATGCAGCTCAACAAGAGGAAGCTAAATGGTGGCAGATGAGGCGATCGACAACAACGACGAGTACAACGACGACCACCACAACTACGACCACGACGACAACTACTATGCCAACTACTCCGCCGTACATCATTCCAGAAAATATGAGTGAACGTGCAATGGCTCCAGAAACTGTAGCAGTTATGGGCTACAAAGTGCGTCATTTATCCTGAGTTTTAATCTGTTGCACTGACGGCTGATGAAGTTTAGTTCCTAGTAGAATTTTTATTTCTTTCTGCAAATTTAGGCATTCAAGATCAGCACTTAATCAATTTGCTTCACGGAAATAGTTTTAGGACTTAACAGACAGTGTTGCTATGCTTACAAAAGCTAAGGAAAATTTGGTGTTTACCGTATCGTCTTTACCGGAAGAAATCAGGGCAAATTTATCACATGCAAAAAACGAATTTATCAAACAGTGTTCATTTAATGGTCGACAATGCGACATAGGTAGACTTTTCATGATACCGTAATTTCTGCTTTATAAAATCTGTTTTAACAAGGTTTTTTGACCATTACTGTCTGGTAAAGATTGGTTACCTGTTCAGAATTTCAGGACTTACTAAAACGATCAGTAATGTGATTTCTGAGATTACTTGTTTACGCAATGCTACTATTTATTCATTATTGGCTTTGTGTCAGTCATAATATCTATTTTCTTTAGAGGGAGATTTCAAGCAGCACATTGACCCTGAATTCGGCAACTGTTACACATTTCAGTGTACTAACGATACGCATTGCAAAAGCACAAATGCCGGTCCGACTTACGGTAAAAACCAGTTTCTGTTTGGAAAGAAAGAAGTTTCTGCAAAAACACTAATGATAATATTCATACGGTTTAGGCATTCGAGTGGTGCTATTTGTGAACACATTCGATTACATTCCAACTTCAGAATCTGCAGGCGTTCGAGTAGCTGTTCATGGTAAATCTGAATTGCCCTATCCGAACACCTTTGGTTACAGCGCACCTGTTGGATTTGCTTCATCATTTGGTTTAAGAAAAGTAAGCATTTTGTGCCGCAATTTTTAGTGAAATAACCTCAGTGCAATTCCTGCAACCTTTCTTTTTCGTATAACGGTAAGCTACTGTTTTTCTAAAACCTCTTCTACCACTTTATTTTTTTTTTGCAGAAATCAGTACAGAGATTATCAGCACCATACGGTGATTGTAGAAAGGAGAAGAAGGTTGATGACGACCGATATATTTATCCTGATTATGACTATAATACAGAGGTTAAATGTCTTGTTTTTAAAGCCAGGAATTGAAACTGTTTTAAGAGTTTTCAAAATTGAACTTCGTAAACAATTTTGAACTTTAAAACGAATTTCTTGTTACGCATTTTTGATAAAAGTTATTGAACTGGAGGCAGTTTTAAATACTTTTTCTCTGGGGATGACCTTTACAGGTCTTGGTTCGTTAGGGTTGGCTGTTTTCAATGGGCAAAAAGCTGCAATAATTAGTTTAATTTTGACTTTGTTGTATTACAGCCAATTGTTTGTGACTGACGAAGAGGAACAACTCGTAAAAGCAAAATCTTACAAATTTCGAAAAAAAAAAAAAAAAAAAAA